GTAACAAATGCCAAATTATTGCCTGCCAATTTGCAGGGGGATCTGGATCGATTGGAGTATACGTATGGTATGCTTCCAACAGATGCTCCAAAAAGGCAGAAGGGGATTCCTCTGATCCTTGAAGGACCTCACTTACCTTGCTCAAATTGGTAGGCTTCCCAGCGGCTCCCCTCAGGCCGGCCAGGAGATGCTGTCGATAGTTCTGGAGAGCCTCTCTCCCACCCGAGGAATTAATTTGCCAACAGGGTCGGGTGGACAGGAGTTGTGTCTCAATACAGGCCCCCTGCTGTTCATCTAGGGGGCCCTCTGCTCTGCCTAATACCAACCTTACAGCTTGTTCCCGGATTCTTTCCCTCTCCTCTGAGGTAAAAAGGGCCTGGAGGAGTTGTTGGCAATCATCCCAAGTAGGATCATGGGTATGAAAGATAGACTCCAGGAGAGAGATTAGAGCTTGTGGTTTCTCTGAAAAAGGAGGATTCTGGTGTTTCCGATTGTATAAGTCACTGGTAGTGAAAGGGATATAAACATAGTGACCTTGCTCAGTCTCCCAAAGGGGCAAGAGAGGAGCCAAACCAGTTTCCCCCAGCGGGGACCTCACTAGGTCCATACGCAGCCCCAGCTCGCATGTGTGGGGGAGAGGTCACTGAGTCCGGGGAGTGGGGCCCCTCAGGGAGAGGAGGATAGAGAGAGGTAGGAGCTGAAGGTTGAACAGACGGAGGAAGGAAAGGAGTTCGGGGTCTAGAGCGGGATCCATCTGAGGAGGTGGAGGGTTCCACACAGGGCGGAGGCCCTCCCAAGGGGTCCAGGGGGTCAGGTTCCTGTGAGAGCACCGGCTGGGAGCCCGGGGCTTAAGTCCCCAGGGTCCTTTTGGGGCAGCGACTAAAATGCGAGTGTCTGTTTGAAGAGAACAGTGCTGCAGCCAAGCCGGGGGCTCCTCACAAGCCTGAACCCAGACATCTATGTAGGGAAATTGGTCTGGGTGGCCAGGGTGACCGGTGACTTTGCCCCACACCTTCCGGCAAATACTGGGGTCAAAAGTCCCTTCGGCTGGCCATCCCACCCCAAAGGCTGGCCATTCCAGTTGGCACAGGGAGCGAAGTCTTTTGCGAGAAAATTTTTCCCTGTATTCATCTTCTTGTTCTGGAGAAAAAGCCAATCTAAAATTAGTGAGAAAACAGTCAAGCGGAGTGGACCCAGTAGA